GTGTTGTGGGGGGGGAGGGTGGAGGGATTGAGCAAAAAAGAAAAAAAAGGGAAAGAACTCATGGACATGGACAACAGTGTGGTGATGTGTGTGGGGGGAGTGTGGTAGGTGGGGGTGGAAGAGGGTATGGGGGATAATTGGTGATGGGAAAAATAAAATAAAGAAAAAAAGACTGAAGTTGAGGAAAGGTCTCCTTATAGCTGTGACATCTGAGGTTTGAATAACAAGCTGGGCCAGCCATGTCAAGATCAGGGGGAAGAGCATTTCAGAACAGCTGCTGTAATGGGCTAAGGCAGGAGTTCTGTGTGGTGTAGGGAAGTCAGGGGGAAGGCAAGTTTAGAGCTAACAGATAGAGTCATTACACAAGTGAATTTATTCAACACCTTCACAGTTTAAATGTATATGGCCATGCTCACCTAGATCTCAGAATCTGTGTCATGATTCCAGGATCAGAATCAGTAATTATCTATAAGAATCACACTGGAGAAAATTCATGTTCTAAAGTCTATGCGATATGTCCTGCTTCAAAGCCTCAGATGTCCCGTCCACAGGATAGGATGCTAGTAGTATTTTAGGAAAATGGCACCTGGTGTTCTAGTCTAAAATTGAATTTGCTTTGAAAGAAAGCATGTATGAATGAAGACAGTAACAACTTCCTTCATCTTTAATAAAATAATTGCTCTGAAGGATTATAAGAGTTTATATACAGATGGGGCAGGGAAGAAAGCTGTTACAGTTTTAGATTTTCTTGCATATTTTGGTAAATGTGCAACAGAGACCTGATGAGTTGCCAGCAAATAACAAGCCAGAACCCTGGATCGAGAGAGCATTTGTGATACCCAGCCAACACAGAACTGCTTTCCCTCCCACAGGGTGGTCTCCAGATCTGTTGTAGCCCTTAGCAAGACTTTATATCACAATTGAAAACAGATGCCCTTTCTGCCCTCTCCTGCACTGTAAACTGCCGTTCAGGGGGCACACTTTCGAATGCCTAGCAAGAGTCCTCCTTAGACATTTTGTTTCAGGAGTCTTGCTCAGACACACCCTGCAATAGACAACAGACACAGATGTTGCCAGATTTGTGAGGGTCTAGTAATCTGCTTGGTGCTTTCTGAATGCTTCTTATCACAAATCAAAATACCAATACTAAGGATTAACATAAAAACATCTCTCTGGACAGTTTCTGCTTTAGAATATTTAATCCTAACAAAAAACATTTAATCTTAAAGGACTATGTAATCCTAAAGGGAAACCAAAGCATACTCTCCCTAATGGACTATATTGAGTTTTATTACAGGAAATGGCCCTAAACATGCTTATATTATATGTATATGACATTGAAAACGAAGATTATAAAAAAAATCACTTTAAATTCTGATTTAAAGAGACTTATTAGCCTTAACTGGTTTGGCTCAGTGGATAGAGCGTTGGCCTGCTCAGATTCGATTCCGGTTGAGGGCACATGCCTGGGTTGCGGGTTGATCCCCAGTAGGGAGCGTGCAGGAAGCAGCCGATCAATGATTCTCTTTCATTATTAATGTATCTATCTCTCTCTCCCTCTCCCTTTCTCTCTGAAATCAATAAATATATATATTAAAAAAGAGACTTATTAGACATAACGGAATATAATGTGTAGATTTTGGTTGGATCATGGTATAAATCAATTGACATTTAAGTGACAACTGGGACATTTTAATATGCACTGAATATGTGACAATATTAAGGAATCATTTGTAATTTTGTTAGATGTGATAATGATATGGAGTTATGTAAGAAAATATACTTATATTGTGGACATGCACATGCAAATATGTAGGGAGGAAATGTCACATCTATAATTTATTTTAAAACACTTCAACAAAATATCAATTGAAGAAAATATGGCAAAATGTTAATAATTGTTTAATTTATGGGCTCATTGAGTTTACTGTAATATTTTCTCTACTGTTCTGTAAATTTGAAAATTTTTATAATTCAAAGTTTTAAAATTTTTGGAAGTTGGAGTATAGTACAGTGATTTGTCAGCTAAATAGCACTGCTTTATGGTTGTAATGGATGTTGCTTTATTGTGCCTTTTGTGCTGTGATAGTAAATAGCAGTGGACCTGGAAACTAGATGATTTCTTCATAAAATGGAACATTACAATAAAAACGAACCAATAATCTCCCCTTCTGCCCCCAACCCCACGCTCTGATTTTGTAACTTGGCCCATGATTATGGGAGATGAAGTAGTTAAAAAGTAAAACTGAAACATGTGGAATCCAAAAGCTAGTATTATTTTTTTTCATTCTGGAATGTAAAGCTCTTTTATATATATATGTATTATTTATTTCAGAGAGAAAGGGAGAGGGAGGAGGAAGGGAGAGGGAGAAAGAGAGCTAGAAACATCAATGATGAGAGAGAATCATTGATCAGCTGCTTCCTGAATGCTCCCCACTGGGGATCGAGCCCTCAACCTGGGCGTGTGCTCTGACTGGGAATTGAACCCTGACCTCTTGGTTCATAGGTTGATGCTCAACTACTGAGCCACACAGGCCGGGCTAATACTTTGTGTCAATTATAGTTGACACACAGTATTATATTAGCTTCAAGTATACAACACAGTGAGAATTGACATTTATGTAACTTACAAAGTGATCACCATAAAATGTCCAGTATCCATCAGTCACTGTACAAAATTGTGATATTATTGACTGTATTCCATCTGCTGCACTTTACACCCTTGTGATTTGTTACTAGAGGCCTGGTGCACAAAATGCATGCATGGTGAGGGAGTCCCTTGGGCTCAAACTGGCCGTCGGACATCCCTCTCGCAATCCGGGATCACTGGCTCCTAACCACTTGCCTACCTGCCTGCCTGATCGCCCCTAACCACTCTGCCTGCCTGATTGCCCCTAACCACTCCCCTGCCTGCTTGATCACCCCTAACTGCCTCTGCCTCAGCCCCCACCACCATGGCTTTGTCTGGAAGGAAGTCGGACGTCTGGAAGATGGCCGATTGACCTGGTCTAATTAGCATATTACCCTTTTATTAGTATAGATATATTAGCATACATAAAATTATTGGCACTATCTTGGGCACCTACATGCCAATCAATGGCTCATCTTTTTCCTTCTCTGTTCAGAGATTTTGAAGAGTGATCATTAAATCTACCTGTGATCTCTCTTCAGATAGTGTGTTTTTGCTGTCAGTATATGCCAGTATTGGTATTTTTTCTTATTTTTCCTCCATACTTGATGTCAGTGGTTGCAGATTCAATATCAAAGGGAATCTTGCTGTCCCCTTTCCTCAGTACTAGTAAGCTGTTGAATACCAGCACCTCATTTTTTAAACAACAATGACTATATGGAGGTATCTTGCTTTGGGGGTTAAAAATAAAGCCCTAATACCACATTATCAACAATGGACAGCCACTGGAGCTCCTGCTGTGTAAGGCACTGTTGAAGGTGCTGTTGTGGGGTGAAAGGTTGTAGTGGGGGAATGCACAGAATCAGAAGACCAAGTCTTTGTCTTCAGCAGTTGGCAAACTTTGCGGAGATACGAGAAACAATTACTGTGGAAAGTACTGTATATGATGATCACCCAAATGAGTGCCACGGACTGCAAATGTGGTACAAATTCAGAGTCAAGATATTGTTCCCATCTGGGGCCATTATAACTTCATGGAGCATATAAAGGAGGTAAAATTTTGACAGGGAGAGAGAGAGAGAGAGAGAGAGCAAGAAACTCCTTTTGTGTGGACCAATGAGTATACGCAGAAGCAAGGAGTGTTTGGATAACTATGAATTGGCAAGTTTGGCTGGAGGGAAGATTTCCTATTGGGACAAGCATGTTGAGTCTAAGAATTTGGATTATGGTAAAAACTGGGGAAGCAGTAAAGGTTTGGGACCATGAGTAAGGCTATGTGTTAGGAGCGCAATCTGACAGTGTTGACCTCAAGGGAGGTTGAGATTAAGACAGGAAGATCAATTGGGAAATCACTGCAAAATAGTTTAAGTGGGAAAGGAAATAAAAGTTAAATTTGGGTCATGACAGTGGGAATAGAAGGAAGGGATGATGACAAAACACACTGTAAAAAAAAGAACCAATTAGACCTGATGACTGCATTTAGGCCCTCTTTGAAAGAGAATAGGAAAATTCACATGAATTTGTATCATTTCATTGATGCAAGCAGTCAACTCTAAGTTAATATGTCTAATATGACTCAATTGAGAAACTTTGAAAGAAAACTTTTCATTATTAATTTATAGGAAAACTAGCCCCACACTTATAATTAGTAAACTGTTACACAAATCCTAAGAATGAGCATTCACTTCCTGTAGCCTTTGCTGCCTTTTTATCCATCTCCAAGAGCCAGGAAGATGGTGGTATGGAGGGGAAAATGTGACCCGAGACTTTAGCAGAATCTATTGGTTCATAAGTGGAATGTGACAGTACTTCCAAAAAAGTAGTAATAGTCTAGGGGAGAGGCACCCGGAAGAGAGTCATGTAAAAAGCTGCCTCGAAAGGATGTCCTTCAGTGGAGGACAGACCTGGCTCCAGAAGGCTCTTCAAGGGAGAGCTGGGAGCAAACATTCTGGCCTTACTCTCTCCCCTCTGTCTCTTGCTGATCTTCCTCTCTCCCATCTAGATGGCAAGGGAGCGTGTTGGTGTGCCCCACACCGGCCAGCCTCCTGGGGCAGATGTCGGGGCAGGGAAGGGCAGAGAGGAGAACTGGGTGCAAACAGAAGGTGACAGTCACATCCTCTTCACAAAGCATAACAACATGGGGGGAAAGGCCTGGAGGAAGTTCCTCATAGAATCATAAAACGTTAGAGCTAGACTTAAAATGAGACATGTAGACTTTAAAGAATTCTTTCAGTGAAGGAGAGACCTATATCAAGTCTAAGGTATTGATAATGAAGACGGAAATGCAAGTCCTCAATAACCATACTTTTCTTTGCACTGGGCTGTCCGGTAACTATTTCTAACCTTGTTCCCCATCCCCTTTCTTCCTCAGTGCTCGTCTTCAAACTGTACCAGCGGGCCAAGCACGTGTACAGCGAGGCTGCGCGAGTGCTCCAGTTTAAGAAGATCTGTGAGGAAGCACCTGACAACATGGTCCAGCTGCTGGGGGAGCTGATGAACCAGAGCCACGAGAGCTGCCGGGACATGTACGAGTGTAGCTGCCCTGAGCTGGACCAGCTGGTGGACATCTGTCGGTGAGGCTGAGACAGCAGCGTGGCAGGGGTGGGGGTGGGGAGATGCTACCAAAGCAATTGTTTGAATTAATGAAAAAAAACAACACACACCACATTTTCATGGCCTTCTGAGTGAAAGATGATCCTTGCCCACTTCCTGTATGAAGAGTTGTGTGTGAAATGGAGCCGACCTTGCTCCTTCCTGAACGTCTGTGTGATGAGAGACTGGAGGCCTCCCTCACGCTTCACGAGGCTCCGGGAATGGAGTCGTTCCTTCAGAACATCCCGGAAAAGACATTTAGGGGGCTTTTCTCAGACATGGCCCCTGTTACTTTCTCCTGATAGTTCACCCAGTGCTGCCCACTGCACTGCGGCTCTGCCAACATCTCCTGCTTGGTGTCCCAAGTTTAGTTTTATTCAAAAGAACAGAAAATGAAGCACGTTTCCGTAGTGTAGTGGTTATCACGTTCGCCTCACAAAAGAACAGAAAATGGAAAGGGAGCCTCAAGCCTAATAGGATGCTGGGCTAGAGGGAGGTTGCCGAAGGGATTAACTCAGAGAGCCAGCATTTCCTGCCTTCCCGGTTTGTTAGGCAATTTGGGGGAATAAAGATGAGAAAGCCCAGTTTATGAATGGTTGGTGAGACAGAAATGTAATGAGGGAAACTTTCAGGGAGCTTGTGACCAGTTCGTCTGTAATTGCTAGTGAGTGGGGGGAACAGAGGAGAATGGTCCCTTTGCCCAGAGGGATCCGTGACCTTGGGAGAACTGAAAGGGAAACTGGGCAAACTCTCAAATGGCTACATGTTGTTTTCACTGTGAGAAGATAATGCATGAAGAGAATATGAGGACTGTCTGCAATTAGCAATGAAAATATAATTTGCCACTTGGCGCCTATGGCTGGCCTCACTCACTGCCACACCCGCAGCCTGAAGAGTTTAAACCACGCAGCCCCCGTGATTGCACATGGCGTGTGTGACCCGGCTTGCTGAGGGATGTGAATGGAGCATTGATGACCATGACTCTGCTGCCGTCAGTGTTCGCTCGCTCATTGCCAGGAAGCCTTCCTGAGCTTGTTTCATTGTAAGTGCTCTTTTCAGAAAATATCACGGGCCCAGGAAATGAAAGGGGACAAATATCGTTCAGTTCTGGACATAAGAGGAAGAGAGATGGTTTGTGCAAAATCAGGAAGCGTCACTGCCTGTAAGGTAGTGGGGTGGTTTGAATCCTGCCTGAAAAGCAGTGGAAAGGCATTTGCTAGCCTCCTGCAATTCACTAATGAACTTTTTCTTCCTGGGATGGTCCACAAGCTATGGCTCTTGTGGAACTTACATTCTCACAGGGAAAGAGGAAAATGACAATTAAAAAGAAATCAGATGGTAGTGATAAGTGTTATGAAAAAGAAGACGAAGAAGGGATAGAGAGTACCAGGGCTGAAGGGGGAAATCTTTATATGGAATGGCTGAAGGAGTCCTCTCTGAAGAGACAGTATTTGAACAGAGTCCTGAAGGAAGTAGATAGGTCCTGAGTGAGCATGTGGCTGTCATGTGAGGTACAGTAAGAAGACCAGTGTGGTTGAAGGACAGTAGAGGAAGGACAGAGTAGTGGGTGATGGAGGAAGAAGGGTGGGAGGAGCCACACCACATGTGCCTTGGGGGCCATGGAGGCGCTCTGGCTTGAAGGGAGAAAGGCGAGTGGAAGTGCTAAGGTCCTGTGCAGATGCCTTGAAGGAAGACTCAAGACCATCGCTGTGTGGGTGAAAGACAAGACACGAGATGACTCCTGGATTTTTGGCTTGAGAAAATGTCCTTCTTTCTATAAAAGCCACATTTTTGGAAGTCAGACTTCACATTTCTGAGTCAGAATGATCTTAAGATACCGTCAGATATGAGAGCAGGAAGAGGAGAGATAGAGGTGCTAGTGCTTAAGTGCTGTGACCAGTCAGCATAGTGAGGCTGTGGACAGGAGGAAGGCTGGAAAGGGGTCGGGAGCATCGCCAAACATAATGGTTAGCTTTTCCTCCTGGTCCCCTTGTGGCACTTTAAAATTCCTTTAGTTTTCCTGAAGGCCTGCTTGGAAAGTATTTGCAAAAGACTACTAATGGGTTAAGTGAATGAAGGATTCCTATGCCTGGAATACTCGGGGCACTATTACCTGCTAGAACCTTCATGTGCTCTGAGCCAGACTGCATGGAAAGGTGCCTCTACATAGCCAGTCTATCGGACAACATAGAAGCTGCTTTCTGACTGGATGGAGAGAAGGGGGGAAGGATAGCGGCCACCAGTGCTGGCTGTTTTCTCAGTGGAGCCTTTTTCTGTTCCTCAAGAGAAAATCCATTGAGGATCCAAAGAAAAGGGGCAGGGAGGGAGAAGAAAACTACACTCCTGCAGGGAGTCTGTTTACTTATTTTATTAAATTAACATTAGAAGACCTCAATTATGAGAAACAAAGTACCGTATAATAATGAAGGAAAAAGATGAAGCTTGCCCAATGATAAAGTAACTCTTTTTAAGGAAAATGTAAATTTTAAGAAACAGCTGAATTTTAAAGTAGGATTTGCTGAGGAACACAAAAGAGTTTTGAAACCAAGTCAATTACATGAGAAACCGCTCATTCGCTATTGGTTTCCCTGGTTGCACTTAAGGAAAAACAGTTAAGGCCATTATTTATAAGTTGACACTTGTTGAAATAAGGAGGACTCAGTGCTGCATTATTGCCCAAGCTGTTAATGACACACTTTAATAGACCAACAAAGGTTACAAAAGTAGAAGTGCTGTCTTCCTCAGAAGGCTTTCCACAGCGTTATTCCCCCCGAACTGCTCAGCCTCCAGTGCCTGTTCTGAGCAGGTCCCAGAGGGAGGAGCGAGGTGCACACCACAGTCCTGGGCCCTTTTCCCACCAGCTCAGGTGCTAACCTGATTTCTGCCCAAGAAAGGCAGGGAGCCCTTCCCGCTGCCCTCGGGCTCACTTCTCTTTGGGCCTCTGTCTTCCACTTACTTTCCTCCACCTGCCAGATAGATAGATAGATAGATAGATAGATAGATAGATAGATAGATAGATAGTTAGATAGATAGATAGATAGATATAGATATACCATAATAGAACCAACCCAACTGCTCTCCAATGGCCTTTAGCAGCTTCATTTCTTTTCTTTTTCTTTTTTTAAAATATATTTTATTGATTTTTTACAGAGAGGAAGGGAGAGAGATAGAGAGAAACATCGATGAGAGAGAAACATCGATCAGCTGCCTCCTGCACACCTCCTACTGGGGATGTGCCCACAACCCAGGTACATGCCCTTGACCGGAATCGAACCTGGGACCTTTCAGTCCGCAGGCCGACGCTTTATCCACTGAGCCAAACCGGTTTCATCTAGCAGCTTCATTTCTAAGGTAGACTTGTAGTCATATTTTCTTATACTTTTTCATCTAAACAGTATTTGGAGTCTGTGATTTCTTGAATCTAAAGTTATCTGAAAGTGGTTCTAACCTGGCTGTAAAAATAATATAAGTAGTTCTGGAAGGTCTGTTTTTCTGAGATTCTAGTCAGAAAATTTTAGGCTTCAGAGCAGATGCATGAAGTATTTCCAGGTAAAGGATCTATTACTGACTGCTTATGATTATATTAGAGGCAGTCAGTATGGTATACCATACTGACTCTATGGCGCAGCTGGGGGCAGTCCCCCAGCGAACACACACACACACACACACACACACACACACACACACACACACGGGGCCCCTGCTCTGAGCCTCCGTGGCCAGAGGCCCGCTCCCTGTGGGAAGCTCCCTGAGGGCTCCCGGACTGTGAAAGGAGGCAGGCTGGGCTGAGGGACCCCCCACCCCCCGGGTTGGAGGCTCGGAGCAGGTGCCCCGTGTGTGTGTGTGTGTGTGTGTGTGTGTGTGTGTCCGCTGGGTGCCTGCCCCCAGCCACGCCGAGGAGGCTCGGAGCAGGTGCCCTGTGTGTGTGTGTGTGTGTGTGTGTGTGTGTCCGCTGGGGGCCTGCCCCCAGCCACGCCGAGGAGGCTCGGAGCAGGCGCCTCTCTGTGTTGATCTCTCAGGCTCTGGGCCGCGCCTGTGTGTTGTTCTCTCAGGCTCGGGACCGTACCTGACCCCTCCTCCTGTGCTGGTCATGACTGTTACAGAGTCCCAACCTCATTTACATATTACTTCTTTGTATATATAGATTATACTAGAGGCCCAGTGCATGAAATTCATGCACAGAAGGGAAGGGGAGTCCCTCAGCCTGGCCTGCACCCTCTCTAATCTGGGACCCCTTGGGGGATGTCTGACTGCCAGTTTAGGCCCAATCCCGCAGGGACCATTGGCTCCTAACCAGTCGCCTGCCTGCCTGCCTGATTGCCCCTAACTACCTCTGCCTGCCAGCCTGATGCTCCTAACTGCTCCCCTGCTTGCCTGATTGCCCCCTAACTGCTCCCCTGCCAGCCTGATCACCCCTACTTGCTCCCCCCCTGATGGCCTGATTGCCCCTAACTGCCCTCCCCTGCTGGCCTAATCATCCCTAACTGCCCTCCCCTGCCAGCCTGATCACCCCTAACTGCCTCTGCCTCGGCCTCCACCACCGTGGCTCTGTCCAGAAGAATATCGGTCTAATTAGCATATTACCCTTTTATTAGTATAGATTATACTAGAGGTCCGATGCACGAAATTTGTGTAAGAGTAGGTCTTCCTTCCCCTGGCTGCTGGCACTGGCTTCCCTTTGGTACCCGGGACCTGGACTTCCTTCCGGCCCCAGCTTCATCTGGTCTAACTAGCATATTACACTTTTATTATTATAGATTATATTATATATATTATATTAATATATATGCCATTTCATATATAATTGACTTGGTTTCAAAATTGTTTTATGTTCTTCAGTAAATTCTACTTTAAAATTTACATTTTGTTTACTTAAAAGATTTTATAATTGGGCAAGTATCATCTTTTTCCTTTATTATTATACTTTATTTCACATAATTGTGGTTTTCTAACATTCATTTTAAAAACCTGAGTAAATATTTTGATATTTTTTTATTTTAGTTTTTTTTCATCACTATTAGTTCCCCCTATACCCTCTTCCACCTCCCCCCACTCCTTCCCCCACCCATAATCACCACACTGTTGTCTGTGTTCATGAGATCTTTCTCTTTTATTTATTTTTGCTCAATCTCTACACACACACCCCAACTCCTCCACCCCCTGGCCAAAAAGACTGGTCTATTTATGAATCTGCCTCTATTTTGCTTGTTAGTTCAATTTGTTCATTAGATTCCACATACAAGTGAAATCAGATACTTGTCTTTCTCTGACTGCATTATATCACTCAGCATAATGTTCTCCAGGTCCATCCATGCTGCTGCAAAGGGTAAAATTTTCTTTCTTTTTACAGCCAAGTAGTATTCCATTGTGTACATGTAAAATAGCTGTTTTATCTACTCATCTACTGATGGACTCTTGGGCTGCTTCCAGATCCTGGCTATTTTAAAAGAACATAAGGGAGCATATATTCTTTCAAATTAGTGTTTCCAGTTTCTTCGGATAAATTCCCAGAAGTAGAATTGCTGGGTCATAAGGCAGTTCCTATATTTTGATATTTTAAAACAAATATAAAACCCAACAGCCAATTTTTAGAACCTAACAAATGCCTGGAATTATGCTGGGCTGAGATTAGAGAGATAGATATAAGCTGTCCCTGAATTTAAGATTTTCTAAAATAATTAATTTAATACACATTTGTATAATATAAAAAATACTTATTTTGAAATAAAATTAAATAGAAATACATACAAGGCAAAATTCCTTGCTCTTTCTCTTTGTAGTTTGTAGCAAAGTTGGGTCTTATTGGATTCCCCTACCCCCATTATCTTGTGCATGGTGCCTTAGTAAGTGCTTTATGGTCAAATCAGATCCTTTAAAAGTAGGAAATTTTATTCGGGCTTTATTGGGTGCCTGGAAAGTTATAAGAATATACTTTTCAGTGATAAAAGGATCAAAAGGAATAGTCTATAATCTCCATCTCGTATCTTGCCCTAGCCTTTGTTTGATAGATCATGCTTTTTAAGGCAGAGGCTTCTTTTGTTGTTTTGATCAACCTTTCTGCACTCTTCTTAGTCCAGTTGCCACAGTCATCAAAGTGGTATTTGGGAGATTTTAGGGTTTGGTTTTTTATAACTCTTGTATTGCCTCTCTGATGGTTGCTGCTCAGGACCTACATTCTTAATATTTTACTGCTCTTCCAGGGGAAAATGCAAACATGAAACGTTCACTAAATGCCCTTGCTCACCTGCTTCTTAATTTAAAGTTTTTATTGGTCTCCTAACTTTTGGGTCTCCGGGAATTTTGATGGCATATGCCAAAGGGCATATTAAATACCAGTGAGGACACTGCAGACAGGCCCTTTCAGCCTGTGAGTGTGTAGCTGGGCAGGCGGCTGATCAGCTGCTGGGAAGACCCTGATTTGTGATCACAAGTGCCACTGGCTCAGGGCACAGGCTATTTATAATAGCACTTATCGCTCTCTATTTGGGAAAGTCAAGCTTTGATGATTTTAGACCATGTGGTTGATGCAATTTACTCCATGTCATCTGCAGCCGGCAGGGTGCTGACAGCCACTCTGGGGACTCAGAAGTGAATGCATTCACCTAGGAAGACTTGAGCTTCTGCTCTCTGGAAACTTGCGGGATACTCAGCACAATAGGCCCTTTGGTACAATTCTTATGGGGTTTGCAGTGAGTTAGAAACATCACTCAGTTTGCTTTAAGTTCAGTTTTGAAACCACAGCTTTCAGAAACTGTTCCAGTGAAAAACTGTAAGCAAATATGCCTACAAGTTCATTGAAGACCATAGGAGACCCGGTTGGCCTGTGTCCAGCCAAATGGCACAGTTTGGGCCCTAGAGAATGGAGGAGGAGGCACAGTGTGCTCTGGATGAGGCACGGTTCTCGGGAGGTGCTTCCCTGACACCTCTATTGTTCTAGCATTTTCCCCAGGGAAGAGAGTTTGATGTGACTGACAACTGTTTTTTTTTTTTTTTTTCCTAAATCACCAAATTGCAAATTGGCCCTTTGCCAGCCTACGGACTCAGAGTCATTCTAGGATCCCAGGGCTCCATGTAGCTATTGGGTCATCAGCTCAATGAATGTTTGAGGGACAGGAGGACAGGAGTGGTTTTTATTTGTTTGCAAGCATTTTTGTTTTTTTTCCTTCAAGATCTATTTTTATTTGAAAAGCATACTTTAATGAATAAAGCAGATGATGACAAGAAATCGATTGACAAAATTATTGAGGGGAAGTGAATCACTGGTGTGCAATAATTCTGATGTTCTAGAGTAGGGTAATAGTCTACTGATATTTTCCAGGAAGTAAAGTAGCTCATTTAGATGGAAAAAGGGGATGACATTGTGCTAAATTACTTATGGAGTTTTTAACCTGCTATAACTTTGGAGTAAATTTATTAGAATTGGAAGTACATGTTAACTTTATTGTCAGGATAAATAGCATCCTTTAAAGATGAGTGATCCTTGTACTTTGTACAAATCTTAGCTTTGACAGTGCCTAGTTGATGGGGACTAAGCTCACCGCCTGCTGTGTGGTGGATTATACAATAGTTTCCATCCCAATTGCACATTTCACTGGATGGTAAATTCTGAGTCCAGTTGTCAGACCAGCTCCTGAAGATGCAGGAAGATTCCATGAGATCACCACTCAAAGAGCCGTAGAGCAAGCAGCCTACTACTCAGAGCCAAAACCAAGGGCCAGTTTTAGATATAATTAAATTTGAAATTACCTCTGCAACAGTATACATTTTCTAATTTACTAAAAAGTTCACTGGAGAAAACCCTACAAAACAATACACACAGATGCACTCTCTCTCATTAGAACTTGGGTAGGCTATGTGTCTTATAAGCAGCAGCCAAATCACTCTCATGTTCATTTGCAGGATCTAATTTTTCTTTTCTCACTGTTTTAGGACGTTTGGAGCTCAAGGGTCACGACTCACAGGAGCAGGATGGGGAGGCTGCACAGTCTCATTGGTACCTGCTGACAAGCTGCCCAGCTTCCTAGCAAATGTGCAGGAAGCCTATTACCAGAGTGGTGATCGGTGCCTGGCACCCGAGAAGCAGAGTTTGTTTGCTACCAAACCTGGAGGCGGGGCCTTGGTTTTCCTTGAGGCCTAAACAATGTAAAAAAATCTCAGAGAAACTATTTAGGGCATTTAGGAACTGGCAGGACTTCTCATGCCACAGTAAATTAATCCTTTCTGTTTTGTATTATGATGAACGGTTGCTATTATCAAGATGTGTTTCCAAAGAAATGGTTGCAAGCTCTCTAAGCTTCATAACGATTATTTATCCATCTTAAAATATGTTTTTTACCAATAGGAGTCAAAATTATGGTTGGACAGATCCCTTAAGTATGATTTTCTAGGATTTATTGACTGTAAGATTTTTAAAGATGAATTGTAAAAGACAATCCCAACCTCATGGATTGGACTAGAATTAAACATACTGCTACAGTTAAACTGAAACAATTGACTTGTGTACAGTGTCTTAAACACAGTTTACTTCTGGTTTCTCTCAGCACTCTTCTTCATCCACGGTATAGTCTTCTGTTGATGATGATGATGACAGTGATGTCAAAAGTTCTCTGTCAAGCTTAGCTTCATTCCGCTATGAAAAGAATACATTATTAGGGATGCACAGATTTTCCTGGACAGTGTATACTGGAGTGTGAGATTCCCACAGTTACCAACATGAGCATTATTAAAAGACTAGAGGTCTGGTGCACGAATCTGTGCACATTGAAAGGAAATTAATTAGAAGAAATATTTTAATATTGCTACTCGCCCTTTCTCTATAATAGAAGTGTCAACCAAATTCATGATTGACAATGATAGAAACACACATGTGCGATTGGTGCCAGTGAGAGCTTTATATGTATCCTGCATATGTGAGTCAACTTAGCCTTTTATATCTATTTATATATATAAAAGCCTAAGAGAACATCTGACCATTCGACCATTCGACTGATAGCTATGACATGCACTGACCACCAGGGGGCAGATGCTCAGTGCACAGGCATGGAAACATGGAACAGACTGATGAATCTCAGAGGGAAAGGGAGCAGGGGGTGAGCGGGAGGGGGTTAACCAAAGATCTTATACGCATACTAGAGGCCCAGTGCACAAATCCCTGCACTGGGCCTCTAGTATATAGAATAAGCTTGCTTAATTAGACCTGCTTTCTGATTTAGCTAAACTTTTTCCAGCCAAGTGAGCATCCCAACTTCTCTTTCAGGTAATTATCAGCAACACAGCAGTAAGTATCAATACAAAACACATTATTATTGTAGATCATTCAGGGGGAACAAAGGGTAAAATATTTAACTGCAGCAGTGTTTGACTATATTCTGTGCAGTGAGAAAACCTGAAGTCATTTTCAAGGTCCACCATTTCTTACTTCTTTTCAGTCGGGTCAAGTTTCTAAGCTTTCTAAATCTGTTTTCCGGCTAATGAAAAGAAAATAGGATTCTACCAGTCTCCTATCTACCTACTCCAGGACTTCTGTGAGGATCAAATGAGATGAGGCACGGGAAAACTCTTCACAGACATTTGATTAAAGTGTGAAATGTTTGCACCTGGCTATAAAGCAAGTCGTGTTCCTGGGCTGAAGAAACTGCCAGGAGGCTAGTCGTCACTAGGGAGAGGAAGCTGCCTTGCACCCCTTTATTGTGTGTCTAGTAAGTCTTATTCATATATGTGGGCCCGTGTAGAGCTGGTGTGCTGGTATGTGGGTAAGAGTATAAAAGGCTTAGAGAGGTGGTTCTGAGATTGGGTAGAGGTATTGGTGGGTGCCTGTATATGTTTATCAAACGTGGGCAGAAATATTTGGCCAGGTAGCAATGGTAAATGAATGGCTTTCTCTCACGGATAGAAGACAGGAGGGCCTTTTTGAATTATGTAAAGATTTAGACCAGAAGGCATTTAGTGATGTAATCTGATAATTGAGACAGCAGTGGTCTTATGGCATGAATTATCCAGAAAATTACCACAATTTTCTATTAACCTATGATTGTTTTTTGCTCATTAATGTGCAACTCAGAGATTGGACATCATCATCTCGAATCTCAGTTTCATGGAGGCTCAGGCAAAGTTCATTGTCATATTTCTCAAAGGACAATAGTCATATAGAAAGTACTAGAAAATCCATTATTTTATTCTAAAATAAATTTCTCAGAAAACTTAAGTCAAATTTATTGAAAGAATTTTGAGTTTTTAAAACTCAATAATCCAAAATCTGAATTTACTTTTTTAATACTCACCTAAGTATATATTTATTGATTTTTCTTTTCTTCTTTTTTTTTGAGAGAGAGAATGAGAGAGAGAGAAACATCGATTGGTTGCCTCTCATATATGCCCTAACCAAGCTTGCAACTTAGGTATGTGCCCTGACTGGGAATTGAACCCGTCTCATTTCAGTGTATGGGACAATACTCTAACCAAGCCACACTGCCCAGGGCAAACTCTGAATTGATTTTAAATTATAATTCTTTGGTTGTTTTTTTTAAATACATATTTTCCACAAAAGATCTGTGTTTGGTATATAATTCTTTAAAGATACCTACATTACAGTTTTTTTAAAAAAAGGCACTTGCCATTGCTTTGCTATCTCTTTAAAAAAGAACTGTTTTTCAATAAGACTATCACCAAGTGTTGTTCTAGAAATTCTGAGAGATATCAAACTTGTGTGGAAAGGACAAGGCTAGGGCCACTGGAAAAAAAAAATGGTTCAAGTAGAAGGTGGAATTTGAGCGTGAATCTGAATTGCTGATGGTGGAAGATCCGATAGTACTTTGGCCTCCATTCCTATGGGGCAACAATGAACTGGAGCTGAGGAGGTCATTGCCTGATTTAGACGAGGGGAGTGCTCTCCAGTGTGCCAGTTTCCACAGTTCCTCGTATTTCCCTAATACTGGAGCCGTTTATCATTGACTAGCTGAGGTCAGCATGCCCTTTCCCCGCATACCTGCACAGGTGTTTTCTCTACTAAATAAACATCTCTCTGGACCCATGTCTCCAGCAATAGTAGTTAAGAGATACCAATAAAAATGGGAGAAAGAAGTATTTTGTGTGTGTGGAAGTCCTTGGAGGGAAGGTAGGGGAGGATGGGGGTAAGGGGAAGGGATCAACCAAAGGACTTATATGCAAGCATATAGGCCTAACCAATGGACACGGACAACAGGGTGGGGGGGTGGTGGTGAGGGCATGAGCAGGGTGGTAGGGGATAACGTGGGGATAAGGACACATATGTAATATCTTAATCAATAAAAAATATATTAAATAAAAGAATAGTCCTGTTTGTTTAATATTAAGCACCTAGGTATGTTACTCCTTTCTGTTGTACCTTTATGGCTTCTATAAGAATTAGATTAGATTATTTAACTCCTGTTTTGACATTACACCCACAGCCAATGAGGACTGCTCTAGATTTTTGATTGGTAGCCTGGCATACTGAAAAGAAAAGGCTCTCTCCTGCTTCTGACCTCAGATTGCCCAGCCTTCAGATTTGTTGTACACTAATCCCTACATGGCCTTGCCTGCTGGGAGGGAAAAGGCCCTTCTGATGGCACAGGACTGCCCATAAGCAGAAGAGGGGAGGACACGGAAAACGGGAAGCTGGCCCAGTCTCTCTCCTTTTCTTTCTTTCCACTCTGTTCAGAACCTTTTCATTTCTGTCTTATGTTTCTGTTAATTGTGGGTAGGGCCCATTCATTTAACATAGTGGTTGGGATCCAATATATTTTCAATTATGAATGGAAAATATGAATATGATTTCAAACACCAATAATTTTCTGTTAATTTGAAAATCTGACTGCATTTGGAGGTTTTTAGTTGCATAAATTATCCTTGGTCAGAAGCAAGGGGTGGGGATAGTGGACATGAGATAGTCACAGACATATGAAATGTGCACATGGATGATGAAATAACATATGAAGCCACATACTGTTTACTTAATATTGTCTAGTCCAGCCGTGGGCAAACTATGGCCCGCGGGCCGGATCCGGCCCCTTTGAAATGAATAAAACTAAAAAAAAAAAAAGACCGTACCCTTTTATGTAATGATGTTTACTTTGAATTTATATTAGTTCACACAAACACTCCATCCATGCTTTTGTTCCGGCCCTCTGGTCCAGTTTAAGAACCCATTGTGGCCCTCGAGTCAAAAAGTTTGCCCACCCCTGGAGTCTATATACTAGTAAGAGAAGCTAGAGAGACTTCTCAATTAGTTAAAAAACAAAACATACCAGTTTATGTAGGAACTTCTTAAAGTCTTTTTCAATCTCTAAAGGCTTCTTGGTAGCCTTTGCTTGGAGTCTAACATGGAACAAAGAAAATCGTTAACCAAACTAGTTTTTATACTGACACCAACTAAGGCCAACATTTACAGAGAGTTTCATGTGCCAGGCACTTGCCAGCACTTTGCAAGTGTTAATTCAATTACACTTTCAGCAGTCTTATGCAGTAGGTACTACTATTATTTATCCTGTGTTATCAATGAGGAAACAGCCTCTGGGAGGTCAAGTCCCCTCCCCACAGACATAGAGCTCACAAGTAGCAGAGGATTAACCCAAGCAGTGTGACTGGAGCCTTCAGTTCCAACCATGGTGCGACACTGCACCCCAGCCATGAAGTGTCCTCTTCGGAGAGATGCTGCACACAGCACTCCCTGAACTGACCCCACTCACAGGCTTCAGCACAGACTTTAGGAAGGGCCAGTGGGGAGAGAAGAGTAAGAGAGACTGGCAAGAGAAAGACCTGGGGGACAAAGAGAGAGAGACATGGAAGAGGCAAAAGGGTGAGGGTGCTCACTAGACTAAACTCACAGAGAGTGGGAATCCAGGGCTCTCTCATGGTTTCTGTCCCTAAGTACTCATTCAAGAATTATTGAGGAGGGAGATGAGTAGTTGAATCCAGAGATCTTTGAGGCAAGAGGCAGAAGTAGCCTAGGCAAGGAAGGGTAGGAACTTGCGACAAGGGAGAAACATTAGTAGCAAGAGAAACACGGATGAGTGAAAGAACAATGAAAAAGGGTAAAAGGTTATTATTTCACTGGAAATTTTCACCTGAGACATTTTAAAATTATTCTTCCTCCATGAAATCTGTAGGAAGTAAAATTGTCTAAGAATTCCAAATATACTTGTGCAAGCA